GATAACAGGGCCAATTGCCTGCCTCCTGGTGTCTCCTGTTGGATGACCCATGGGCATCCTAGTCCAACATGTCCCAACTGAACACTCCACCAATCTTCTCCTACTCTGGGCTTCCCATCTCAGGTATGGCACCACCGCCCACCCCTGAACCCAAGTCAGAGAACCACAGTCTCCCTCCCCAATTTCCTCTCTAATCCCAGACATGTCTCTCTACTCCACCACCACGACCCTAGTCCAGGCCACCATCATCTTCATCTGGACTATCATGGTAGCCTCCTGCCCAGTCTCCACCTGTGGCCAGAAGAACCGTACTCAAAATCCTCATCTGCCCCCATGACTTTGCTGCCCCTTAGCATTTCTCCTTCTCTCCCAGCCCACAGAGCCCCAATAGAGAGAGGAGAAGAAAGGGCAGTTCTCTCAGCCTTTCCAGTTCCAGGTTCCCCACCTGCCTCCGCTAACTCCATGTGCTTCCTGTGCACCTGTCCTTCAGGCCACCCCTCTGGTCTCTTTTCCATCCACAGCTCTCAGGCTCCCTCCCTCCTTTCCTGTGCTTGGGACTCCAGGTGTCTCCCTTTCTCAGCGACTCTCATTATGCCTGTCTGAGTTTTCAGGGCTCCTTTCGTCCCTTTTGTCTTGCATAGTATCCCTCAATGTTCTAAACAGACACTAGGACATCAGATGGAAAAGCCTTTTCAGTTCTTGGATCTTAAACATTTAAAGGTTAGAGTAAGAATTCTTAATTTCTGCGATCTGTGCAGGACTTTACAGATCTCCAATCCTTTCACATTCTTGTTCTCATATAATCCTCACAAAGCTGTGGGTTAGGTAGGATAAGGGTTATTATATCTGATTAATAGATGAGGAAATAGGCTTTTGGATTTGCCAGAAACTTCAGAGCAAGGATTCAAACCCAGGTCCTCTCATACTACATTTCGGCTCTGCTCACTCCCTCTGTGACTCTGAACTGAAAATGAAAGGAAATCTATTTATTGACCCAGGAATCTGTCCATGGTTCTTTCATCCATCCCAGCTACCTCCAGATGAGCTAAACCTGCCTTTCTCCCAGTGTCCATCAATGACCGACATCAAGGAAGACGGCTGCCAGGAACACGTAGCTGTCCCGCGTGACTTGTCTCAGGCCTGCCTCTTACAACTCACCTGGCGTTCTCGGTGAGCATCTTGGTCGGGAAGGACCTGCAGTCCTGGTGGGCAGTCTGCTGGCAGTGACGACCTCTGGATTGCTCTCTGGGCTCCTCCAGGCTCGTGGTTATGACTGCTTGTGATGAGCCAGTGTTCTGCCCAGTTCTCTTCACAGCACCCAAAAACTCAGAGAAAAAGCAAACATCCAGTCAAACATTTACCCAAGAAGCAAAAGCAGGCTGGCGTCCCTCTTCCTCATTCCAGAACACTGCTGGTATTCTGTCCTCCTCCCCTTCTCGTGCTTCAAATGCAGGAATTTCTCTCTTTATTTTCTCTTCCCCAGACTCTTGCTGTCCTTTTTAAGCCCCCTGTTGTGAGCACTGGGCCCCTTGAGCTGTCAGAGCTTTGGCTAGCTATAAAAGTTATTACAGGCAATAAACTTGGACTCTGCCTCAGGCGATAAACTAGGATGACTGGCTTCCAGATTCTCCTTAGAAATAAGGCAGCCCATTTACCGGGAGAAGGGACTGGAGACAAGTTCAAAACTGAACCCCACACACGTGGCAGAGACAGCCAGCTGTCCACCAGGTAACCCTGCTCCACTTCCACAAGGTAAGGCTGTTGCTGGAAAGGATCTTCCCAGCCAGGGCCACACTCCCCACCACCCTGGCATCTAGGAGCAAACGTAAGACCAGGTCTCACCAATAGAATGTGAGCAAAAGTGATGTCACTTCTGGGTCAAGACCCTTAAGAAGTGAGTCTGTCTTTTCTGCCTTCTCCTTCTCCAACTGCTGATAAGACTCTGAGGCTCTAAGGTACATGGGATAACCAGATGGAAGGAGCCTGGGGCCTTGAATCACCACGTAGAGAAAATCGACCTTTCCACAAACTATCCA